AAGCAGAAAATGTATACCATTCTGGACCAGGGGTGCAACCCAGCAGGTTCTGACAGATTCTGGAGAACCGGTAGTGGAAATTTTAAGTAGTTCGGATACCACCTCTGGCTGGCCCCAGAGTGAGGTGGGAATGGAGATTTTGCAGTATCCTTCCCCTGCCACGCCCACCAAGCCACGCCCACAGAACCGGTAGTGAAAAAAAATGGATTTCACCACTGATTCTGGACAAATGGTTGTCCAGTCTCTTCTTAAAAACCTCCAGTGATGGAGCATTCACAACTTCTGGTGGCAAGCTGTTCCACCGGTTAATTGTCCTCACTGTTAGGAAGTTTCTCCTTAGTTCTAGGTTGCTTCTCCCCTTGATTAGTTTCCATTAATTGCTTCTTGTCCTGTCTTCTGGTGTTTTGGGGAATAAGTTGACCCCCTCTTCTTTGTGGCAGCCCCTCAAATACTGGAAGACTAATATCGTGTCCCCTCTAGTCCTCCTTTTCTCTAGACTAGCCAAACCGAAATCCTGCAACCGTTCTTCGTATGTTTTAGTCTCCAGGCCTTTAATCCTCTTAGTTGCTCTTCTTTGCACTTCTTCCAAAGACTCAACCTCTTTTTTGGAATGTGGGGACCAAAACTGGATGCAGAATATTCTAGATGTGGCCTTACTAAGGCTTTTATAAAGCGATGCTAATTACTTCAGGTGATTTTGATTCTGTGCCTCTATTTGATACAACCCAGGATTGTTATCAGCTTTTATTTTTGTTCCAAAAAGAAAAAGTTTTAAAAAGTTAACTCGGTTACGAGAAAAATGCCTTTGCTCTAGTTCAACTTTGGAAATTGTATAGCCAGTTTTTACAGCAGGGGCCTCCCTTCCACAGAAAAAGAGCTCGGATGGTTTGTTCTCACGTGCCCTAAAAAAAAGGAGTTTTTAAAATTGCTTTGAATTTGAAAACGCAGTGAAGCTTTTTCCCCTTAGCAGAATGTAAAAGCAGCTTTGTTACCCCTTATTTTTTGGACAGAGGGGTGAAAGGGGAAGGAAATATATATTGGCCAGCTTTCCACAGTATTGCTGCAAAAAAAAAAGCCACAACTTTTTGTCTCATGATAGTTTACGGACATAAATGAATTGTGCCAAATGGTCGTATCCAGTGGTAGGATTCAAACAATTTAACAACCGGTTCTCTGCCCAAATGACGGGCTGGGTGGGCGTGGCCATGGTTGGCGTGGCCAGGGGGTGTAACAGGCAGCACTCGGCCTCCTGCACCCCTCTGGGAGCAAAAACGGGCCGCGGGGGAGACGGGGACATGCTGCCCCCTCCGCGCGTCCCATTTTGGGCCTGGTAGGCCTCCCTGCAACCAGCAATTTAACTATTAAACTGGCCCGAACCGGCTGAATCCCACCACTGATTGTATCAAGCAGGGAAAATGACCTCAGTCATTTTTTCCCCCCTCCTAAGTATTTCCAAGGCCAATGAACCACAAATTTGCTTTGAAAGGGAGTGCAAATATTTAAAGGATGGAAACGGGCTGTGGTTGCTTTTTCGTTCCTTTTTGACCCCTAGTCACTTCTTGTCCGTGGAGAAAATGCAGCCGCAAGAATTGAGATTGAAAGGGTATATAGAGAGGACAGGCTAACCATTTAAAACAGTTTGAAACAGTTTAAAATTCTTTGGGTCAATTTCGCAATGGGTGGGAAATTAACAATGATGTGTTTTTGCTGAAATTGGGTATATCTAGTTCAGGGGTCGGCAACCTTAGACACTCAAAGAGCCACAAAGGTCCTAACCGGAAGCCCCGCATTCCAATTCTGGAGCTGACTGGAAGACTGGTTCCCCCACCATAGAGTCTCCTCCTAGCGCGGCATCCTTTTTCCTCTACCTGTCCTAACCGAAAGCCCTATCAATTGTGGAGCCGACTGGCAACAGGGAGCCGCATGTTCTGTCCCCGTACCACACACGCACCCCCACAGATGGCCCGGAGTTAATAAGCCACACGACAAAACTCTTTGAAGATAAAGCTGGCAGCAACCCAGTGGCTAGCTGCCAATTCAGACTTTACTCACACGAAACAAAGATTAGACTGCAAGCATTCCGATAAAACAGGCAGAGTGTCAACAATACAAGGATTAATCCAAATGCAGTCCGATAAAGCAGGCAAAGTCCAGTAACGCACAGATCATGGATTATTTCTAGTTTTTGCTCGTCACAAACTGAACCGGCCACCACACCCACATTTATACCCTGTGGGGTGTGGTCCAGTGACTCAGCTAATCTCTGGCACGCCTTCCCCTCTGCTGCGCATGCTTCTCCCTGCGCTTCTGCCGAGGGTCCAGCCAGCACTTATCTTCTTCGTCGCTGTCCACCTGTGGCTGCGGGGACGTGCTTGGCTCTGAGCCTATCTTTTGGCCTTCGGTGTCCTCCGGAGGCATTGCCAGAGAGGAGGGTCCTGGAGAGGGAGGCCTCGCCAACTCCTCTTCCTCACTCTCAGAGTCTGCATCTGTTGATAGCCCAGGCTCAGGCAACGGAGCCACAACACCGCAGCAGAGGGATGAAAGAGCCACATGCGGCTCCAGAGCCACGGGTTGCTGACCCCTGGTCTAGTTTAAGGAAAAGAAGGACTAGGGGTGACATGATAGCAATATTCTGATATTTGAGGGGTTGCCCCAAAGAAGAAGAGTCAACTTATTTTCCAAAGCACTAGAAGGCAGGAGAAGAAACAAGGGATGGAAACTAATCAAGGAGAGAAGCAACCTGGAACTAAGGAGAAACTTTTAAGTGACATTTAAGTGAAGACAATTAACTAGTGGAACAGCTTGCCTTCAGAAATCATGGACACTCCATCACTGGAGGCTTTTAAGAAAAGACTGGACAGTTAATTGTCTGAAATGGTATAGAGTTTCTTGCTTGAACAAGTCTTGGACTAGAAGACCTCCAAGGTCTAGGCCTGGCTAGGTGGCTCAGTGGCTAAGACTCTGAGTTTGTCGATCAGAAAGGTCGGCAGTTCGGCAGTTCGAATCCCTAGTATAGGTCTCCTGCATGAGCAGGAAGTTGGACTAGATGACCTCCAAGGTCCCTTCCAACTGTGTTACTGTCACTGTCCCTTCCAACTCTGTTATTCTGTATTATATGAATCAGCATTCAGTTTACTAAATTATATATTTCTCGGGGTCCTTCTAAATCCATGCCAGTCATTGTGGTGGCAGTCAGAAATTGGCCCGTTTCCAGCCTCCAGAGGGCCTCTAGAGCCTGGGGAGGCCATTTTCGCCCTCCCGGAGGCTCATTAAAAGCCTCCGGTGCCTGGGGAGGGCAAAAACGCCCCCCACCGCAGTGCAGGAGGCTGACTAGGCCACACCCACCATGGCCACATCCACCCAGCGACTGGGCAGAGAACCCCTTGCTAAAGTTTTGGAAGCCCACCCCTAGTTTAAGTCTAAACTTCTCTAAACTTCAGCGGCGTATTATCCGTCAAGCAAAAGGAAGCTAATGTTGATCTTCTTCCTTTTAAAACATTTGGCCGTTAAACATCAACAGGCCATCCACCCCAAATCATCGAGAGATATTTTTATTTTATTTTTTTAGCTAAGATTTATTTTCCTTCTGACAATTTCCTGGCTTGAATTTTGACTCACTGCCACGTTGGCTCCCATAGTTTGCAATAGGAATTTGTTCTTGTGACAAGCAAAGGGGCTTTTGGGGATGCTTGGTAATGTATTATTATCCTATAACGATTATTTTTTTTTCTAATGGCAAGTTCCAGCGTGTCATTTCCATACGCCAAGCCGCATAGCTTGCAGAAGATTTATGCAACGAGCGATGGATATTAAGTGGATTTAATATCCATTTCCTTTTTGAAATAAGGGGAGCATTGTATCATCTGTTTGGGCTGTTAAATTTCTTCCCCTGGCAGTTTTATAGCCTCAGAAGGTGAGTGTAGGTCCCTTGCTCCCTGTAATCTCTTGGAGACAGTTGTGTAAATCCTTAGTATGTTATTTGTGTAAATCCTTAGTACGGTTATTTCTGAGAGACCAATGGGATGGGATGCATGTTACACCGATTGAGTAACATGAGGTCTTCTTGTTATGGTCCCTTTGGCAATCTTTGGCCACCAAGGAGTAACTGCTCACAATGTTCATTGAGTTGACTGTGAACTCCTCTGTATACAAAAATATTCCAGAGTCAAATGTGACGCCATTTGTCCAACAGCTAAAGCTATTCAATCAGAATAAAGCTGGAAGGGACCTTGGGGGTCTTCTAGTCCAACCCCCTGGTTAGGCAGGAAACCCTACATCACTTCAGACAAATGGTTATCCAACATCTTCTTAAAAACGTCCAGTGTTGGAGCATCCACAACTTCTGGAGGCAAGTTGTTCCACTGGTTAATTGTTCTCACTATCAGGAAATTTCTCCCTGGTTCTAGGTTGCTTCTCTCCTTGATTCGTTTCCATCTGTTGCTTCTTGTCCTGCTTTCGTGTGTTTTGGAGAATAGCTTGACTCCCTCTTCTTTGTGGCAGCCCCTGAGATATTGGAAGACTGCTATCATGTCTCCTCTAGTCCTTCTTTTCATCAAACTAGACATACCCAGTTCCTGCAACCGTTCATCGTATGTTTTAGCCTCCAGTCCCCTCAGCATCTTGGTTGCTCTTCTCTGCACTCTTTCCAGAGTCTCCACATCTTTTTTACATCATGGTGACCAAAACTGGATGCAATATTCCAAGTGTGGCCTTACCAAGGCATTATAAAGTGGTATTAACACTTCACGTGATCTTGATTCTATCCCTTTGTTAATGCAGCCTAGAACTGTGTTGGCTTTTTTGGCAGCTGCTGCACAAGGCTGGCTCCTATTTAAGTGGTTGTCCACTAAGGCGAATTGTGTGTTTTAATTCCGTTGCATGCACTCAAAACAAGAAAGATACAGCAACTTGATTCCTTTAAATCTGGTTGCCTTGGGGTTCTAATTGGTCCTCTGTTGAAGAAGTCTGCTAATGTTGTTGTACTTGCTGATGTTTTTCAGAGTATCTGGAGGTGAGCTATTTGACCGCATCGTAGAGAAAGGATTTTATACTGAAAAGGACGCCAGCACTCTGATACGACAAGTCTTGGATGCTGTCTATTATCTTCACCGGATGGGCATTGTTCACAGAGATCTCAAGGTATTTGAAATTTAATTGCACCGTAGATATATCTCAGAGGGGTCATTACCAAACTATCAGCGCTAGAAGGAGTGGAGTTTGCAGAGTGGCGGAAGAGAATACTGTGGGGTCCTTGCTGCTTTCTGAGCTTGGTTGTTTGTTTGCAGACGTTTCATTACCAAACTAGCTAACATCGTCAGTGCTAGTTGGGTAATGAAATGTCTGCAAGAAAGAAGAGAGCACCAAGGACCCCTCATTGCAACCCTGAGCTACAGTTATTCTCCTTCATTGCTATATCTCAGAGCCAGTTTGGTGTAGCGGTTAAGGCATCCAGCTAGAAACAGGGAGACTGTGAGGTCTAGTCCCACCTTAGTCACAGAGGCTGGCTGACTTTGGGCCAGTCGCTTTGTCGCAGCCCTAGGAAGCAAGCAATGGCAAACCACTTCTGAAATCTTGCCAAGAAAACAGCAAGGATTAGTCCAGGCAGTTGCCAGAAGTCAACACAGATTCAAAGCCACACACCCAAACAAGATAGATGTTACATTCTAGATTGGAGCCTTCTCCAATCTAGAAAACAAACACTAGAGATTGGGATTACTAACCTCAAAATTCTCATCCAGCATAGTGTTCTGCCCCAGCTCCGGATTCCCAAGGATTGTGACACACACCAACGGTCCTTATCAAAGTTATAACGTACCAAGAATAAACAAAGTCTGGCAAAGGTTGGCAACCAGCCCAGAAAACAAGATACGATAAGACACTAACTCTCCAAAATGCTCTGTAATAATTACACATTGTTTCCAGCAAGAAATTACTAACTGCGTGTGACTTAAATAGGCTAAGGGAGTGGCCAATTTTCCTCGAATCTTACTCTCGAGGAGACCTCCTCCTCCTGAGTAGCCACTCCTGCCTTTTGGCAGCCCTGCATGCTCGAGCATTGAGGAGAGGCTCCTCCACTTCGCTCTCTCCACGTGAAGGAGCCTCTGGAGGTTCTGAAGGCCCAGTCTGAGTCTCTGCCTCTGTCACCACATCCTCTTCAGCCTCCTCGCTGTCCGATGCGAGCGCCGGCTGCGCAGGCTGCTGGTGCGACCCCACACCAGCCTCCTCGTCGTCGGGATCAGCCATGATTTGTGCAGGCCACTGGCAGGCCATAACACATAGGTGGAGAAAGTTGCAGAACCATGCATCAAATCAAATCAATCAATCAATATTTGTAATAGTTTCTCTACGGCTACAGATGCAAGCTACTGTAAATAGCTTATATAGTCTTCACTTTTATGGTTTTAGGAAAACGTAATAATCTTTTGTTGGAATTCATTGTTGGAATGTATTTCTATGCAACAACTACAGTAGTATTCAGCCAGTAGATGGCAGTGTTTACAAATTCGGAACTATGGTATATACTTCAGTAGAGTTTCCTGTTACAGTTAAACAGTTGAGCAGTAAAGCACATGGTGATTGTACTCTTTGTTTGCTCTGTGGTGCTATATAAAAAACAGAATTTCTAACATCTTTCTACTGACCCATCCACCATCTTACCCTCCTATAGTAACTTACATGCAACTGTGGTTGTCAAAGTTTGGAGCCTTGGTGTGAAAACAAGACTTTTTAAACTCCCTTTTATATCTTTGTTTTTTGAGGGTGAAAGATAATTGTGGATAAATTAGTGGATAAATGATGACTTGTCCAGTCAGCTAGGTCATTAATTGCTTAGCGCTTTTGCTAAGTCAGCCATTGAAGTGTAAAGCCAACATAGGAGGCTTAGACGTCTCACCTTTTGCTAAGTCAATCTTCTGCTGAAACAACAGGATTTGCAGGAAATTGTTTATATAAGAATTATCCTTTTAGGCAGAAGAAACAGGCTCAAATAACTCTGTCAACGGGCGGCTAAACTGCGGATCCTGTTCCACTTTGGTGGAAGGAAATTCCTTGACATGCCCCCCCCTTTTTTTCAACAAATTAATCTTATTAGCCATACATGCCAGAGGAGAATATGAAAGCTGAGTTTTAAAAAAGTGCTATGGAAGGGGATTAGTTTATATATGACTTGGAATTTACATTAATGAAAATAATTCTGATAAATGTCAGAATTCGGTAGATGTTCCTCAGACAGGGCAAGCTAAGCAGAGGAGAAAAACTGACTCAAATATATCAGTTTTCTCATGGGAATTATAAGAAGTAGGGGAAGCACAGCAGTGCACCTCAAAGGAGAAGCTCCATAATTTAACAGTATGACAGAGTTGGAAGGGACCTTGGAGGTCTTCTAGTCCAACCCCCTGCTCAGGCAGAAAACCCTACACCACTTCAGACAGATGGTTATCCAACATCTTAAAAACTTCCAGTGTTGGAGCATTCGCAACTTCTGGAGGGAAGTGGTTCCATTGATTAATTGTTCTGACTGTCAGGAAATTTCTCCTTAGTTCCAGGTTGCTTCTCTCCTTGATGAGTTTCCACCCATTGCTTCTTGTCCTGCCCTCAGGTGCTTTGGAGAATAGCTTGACTTCCTCTTCTTTGGGGCAGCCCCTCATATTGGAAGACTGCTATCATGTCATCCCTAGTCAGCGGTGAAATCCACTTACCTTTGCTACCAGTTCAGGCGCGCTCCCATGTGGGAGCCACTTCTGTGCATTCGCAGAATCTTTTGCGCATGTGCAAATGATTAAAAAAAGGGACATAATGATGTCCCAGCAGGTGGGCGGAGCCTCCTGCTGCCGGCGCTACCAGTTCAGCAAACTGGATAGAACCAAGGGGATTTCACCGCTGCCCCTAGTCCTTTTTTTTCACTAGACTAGACATACCCAGTTCCTGCAACCCTTCTTCATATGTTTTAGCCTCCAGTCCCCTAATCCTCTTTGTTGCTCTTCTTTGCACTCTTTCCAAAATCTAAACATCTTTTTTTTTTAATAATGTGGTGATATTTTGATATCTTTAAAGCAGCCATGTCTTTTATACATGGCTGCTTTTGAAGCTGATTCTGGCGGTCTCTCTCCAAATATTGTGGCTATCCAGGTGCATACATGAGGAGAGAGCCCGGAGTAACTTTCATATCAGTGTGGGAGCCTGGGAGAAGATGTGGCTGCTTTAACAGCCATCGGATTAAACCATTTCTAATTTAACCATGAGGAAAGATGTGTTCACAAGCACCCTCGTGCATTGCAAAGCACTTTCCCCCCAAGGACAGGTGCAGAGCTAATAAAAATGCAACACACACACAGACACAGAGAGACACAAATAAAATAATTGCGATCACATAAATAACAGTTGTATGAATCTCTTTAAAGTTCTCGTCTCACGTGAATATTAAACAAAGCCCCACTTTTTTCTCCCCATAATACGATGTTTTGTTGCCTTAAATGGTGGTATAACTCCTCACATCAGCTTGGCTTGGGGACCAAGGAATGCGGCGATACTAAATCATCCAATCTGGTCCTTGCCGTTTCCTAGAATTCCCTGCCTGGAACATGCATTTGTAAAAGGAATACATTAAATTATGATAGGAATTTGTACAAACATCTTCACAAGCTTGTTTCCAATGTTACTGAAAATCTCTCTCTCTCTCTCTTGTCTCTCCCTCCCTCCCCCTCCCTCCTTCCATTTCTCTCCTCTCTCTTTCCCTCCCTTCTTCCATCTCTCTCTCCCTCCCTCCTTCCATCCCTCTCTCTCCTGTCTCTTCCTCCCTCCTTCCATATCTCTCTCTTTCTCCTGTCTCTCTCCCTCCTTCCCTCCTTCCATCTCTCTCTCTCCTTATCTCTCTCTCTCCTGTCTCTCCCTCCCTCCTTCCATCTCTCTCTCTCCTTCTCCCTCCTGTCTCTCCCTCCCTCCCTCCCTCCTTCCATCTCTCTCTCTCTCCTTCTCCTCCTGCCTCTCTCTCCCTCCCTCCCTCCTTCCTTCTCTCTTTCTCTCTCTCCTGTCTCTCCCTACTTCCCTCCTTCCTTCCTTCTTTCTCTCTCTCTCCTTCTCTCTCCTGTCTCTCCCTCCCTCCTTCCGTCCCTCCGTCCCTCTCTCCCTCTCTCTCTCACACACACATTTAAATATGTTTGTCCATTGATCTCAAATCAGCAAAATTGCTCACTTCCTAGCCAATGTAACAAGGCACCTGATTACCTTCTTTTCTTTGATCACAAATAAGAATTGATTGATTTGAAAACTGCCAAAACAGAAGTGCCTGCATTAAGGAAAGTATTTATTGGATGTCAATGAATTAATAAGAGCATATTTCAAAGGCTGATTTTATCACTCTGGAACCGGATTTGCATTTATTTGAGAGATCTATAGAATTCATCAGCCTGGAAGCAGACCACCCTGAGGGAATTCTGAATTTCTTCTGTTTTCCTCTGGCCTGTAAAATTTAGGTCTGAGGCCATTTAGCCAATTGATGGAAGTGAATTTGCCAAAACCACAAAGAGTTTGAGGTATTCTGGGCATGGAAAGCTTTGAAAGACATCTGTATGATCCAGAACATTATGTCCTGGATCAACAAATTGGCAGATTCCTACTTAATATTATCCTTTAGCAATTGCCTAGACTTATGCAATTTGACTTATTTCAATAATATTACCAGAAGAGAGAGGCACCTCCTTCCAAATATGCTCGTTTTCCTTACCCAGTTTTAATATTTTAGATCCTTGCAACTTTTGCTACTCGGGCAAGCTGTAGGTGAATATGGACTCAATTTATATCATCCTTTTACCTCATCATTGTCATGTCTGGCTCACTCACAAGGGACGCCGACCAACCTGTTCTTCTCACGTTTCTCCTCAATATTCCTTTTCAAGCCTAATTTCCTTATTTATTTATTTATTTTTAATTGGAGGAGGAGTGTAGGAGAGAGACTGGCTGAGCCGGGGGAAGGAGTCAAACAAGGACTTACTCTAGAATCCCTATGAGGGCACAGGAGAGCGAAGTCCCCATGAATGCCATTTATGTAGTCTCCCCCCTGCGCAAACCATGAGCCTAAGATGATTAATTTCGAGTGCAAACATCCAGACTGACACTTCAGAGTTCAGTCTTCCAGTATTTGAGGGGTTGCCCCAAAGAAGAGGGAGTCAAGCTATTCTCCAAAGCACCTGAAGGCAGGACAAGAAGCAACGGATGGAAACTAATCAAGGAGAGAAGCAACCTGGAATTAAGGAGAAACTTCCTAACAGTGAGGACAATCAACCAGTGGAACAGCTTTCCACAGAAGTTGTGAATCTCCAACACTGGAAGTTTTTAAGAAGAGATTGGGTAACCATTTGTCGGAAATGGTAGAGGGTTTCCTGCCTATGCAGGGGGTTGGACTAGAAGACCTCCAAGGTCCCTTCCAACATTATTCTATATTCTGTTTTATTGTTTTATTAGCTGCATTTATTAGTTTCATTAGCAGAGTCCAGTTAGCTGTTTTATTGCTGAAGCCTACACACAGAAGTCATCTCAGCCTGGCAAAGAGCAGGGCACACGTACCTCTTTATCAAGGTACTTGAAAATTATTTTCACTAAGCGTCGTTTAATCAGTTGCAACTGCTAAGATACTCTCTCTGGCACGTTTCTTCAAGACGCATTCCTCTTTAACTCCATTTTGTTTAATTGGGTTTAACTCATTAACTCCATTTTGTTTCTTATTAAGGTAAATCAGTGACTTCCTCTTCTCTGCTGCAGGCCGGCAAGCCAAGAGTTTAAACATATTTTTACGTTGGGGAAAAAAGCCCTGCAAACTAGAAATATGTCTTATTTGACTCAAAATCTGTATTCTTCTATCATCATATCGTTTTTTTTTTTCTCTTACTGTTCCCTACAGCCTGAAAATCTATTATACTACAGCCAGGATGAAGACTCTAAAATCATGATCAGTGATTTTGGATTGTCCAAAATGGAAGGGAAAGGAGATGTCATGTCCACGGCCTGTGGTACCCCAGGATACGTCGGTAAGTGCCCCCAATATTCCAAGTGTGCAAGACTTAGAAAATAGTCTACTAGTCCCATTTCCGAAAGACCTATCCGTGCATCCGATGAGTTAAACGCTAGCTCACGAAAGCTTGGGCCTTTTAATAAAACGGGTTAGATAGTCTTTGACTTACTAAAATTCATTTAGTGAACGTGGAAGTTACTATAGCACTGGAAAAAAAAGTGACTTATTATCGTTTTTCATACTTACGACCCCATGGGTCGCATGACCAAAATTCAAGACCAGCTTGGCAACTGACTCGCAGTTTATGACCGTTGCGGTGTCCCGTTTTGCGACCGTCTGACCAGCAAAGTCAACAGGGAATCCGGATTCGCTTAACAACCAGGTTACCAATTGCAGTGATTCAGCTTACCAACTGTAGCAAGAAAGGTTGTAAAATTCCCAATTCAAAATTGACAGGGACATGCAGAGGCCATCATTTGAGGTCATGTCATTTGCGACTGATTAAAATGGATGGATATATCCTTTTAAGTTGGGGCCGATTCCTCATCCGTGCTATTTTAGCAAAGCCAGTTAGGTTGCCCCTACAGAGTCCCATCTCCCGCTATCGTATCTCACTTTTTAATTAATTATAAAAGGCCAGGTTTCTCTCTTTGTGTTCCCATGTCCAAAGGACGCACTACGAGCTATGAAATACGAGAATCCTACTTAGTCTTTCTTGCAGTAAATTGATTATGAAAGGCCTCTTGTCAACCTATCTTTGAGCTCAAAGATATTTTTTTTCCATGTCTGAGATGGATGGATATGTTGGTAGTTTTGGAAGCCTTTGGAAAACTGCCCGGAAAATAATCCCAGTCTTCACACAGGTAGACATCCATCCATCCTACATTCACAAAAAACAAAAATGTTTTTCCTCTGTTTAAACCTAAATCCTCATTTTGTCTTTCTTCTTCATGAACTCTTAGGATGCCTACTGAAATGAATTCTCTTCTTAGAGGATTCCTTTGTTCTGGTAACAATGCTGGTTTGGTCAATGGACGTTGTCTTTTGGTTACTTGACATGATAAGCCATGAGCAATATTCTCTGGCTTAAGCAAGAGTGAAATCTTGTTAGGAGTTTGAGTTTGGAGATCACCAAAAAGAAACCAACCAAGAATTTCTGGCTAAATTAGGAAGATGGGGGGAAAGATGAGGAGGAGGAGAAGGAGAAGGAGAAAGAAAGGAGGAGGAGGGGGGAGGAAGAGGAAGAGAAGGAGGAGGAGGAGGAGGCAGGAAGAGGAGGGGGAGGAGGAGGAAGAGAAGGAGGAGAAGGGGGAGGGGAAGAGGTTGTGGAGAGGAGGAGGAGGAAGAAGAAGAGAAGGAGAAAAAAGTGGTTGTGGGGGTGGAGGAGGGGGAGGGGAGGAGGAGGAGGGAAGGAGGAGAAAAAAATTGGGGGGGGTTGGAGGAGGAGGGGAGGAAGAGGAAGAGAAGGAGGAGGGGAAGAGGAGTGGGGAGGAGGAGGAAGAGAAGGAGAAGGGGAGGAGGAGAAAAAAGTGGTGGGGGTGGAGGAGGAGGAGGGGAGGAGGAGGAGAAGGAGAAAAGGAGAAGAAGGTACACAGACGATCATGCAATCACCAGAAGATTGAAATCAGCTTGAAGGAAACTTTATCTTTTAGGTCCGATGATCTATATTTTGATGTTAGAAACACCCTGGGTTTAGTGGTAACCATAGAACATAGAATAACAGTATTGGAAGGGACCTTGGAGGTCTTCTAGTCCAACCCCCTGCATAGGCAGGAAACCCTCTACCGTTTCAGATAAATGGTTGCCCAATCTCTTCTTAAAAAGCTTCCGGTGTTGGGAGATTCACAACTTCTGGTGGCAAGCTGTTCCACTGGTTGATTGTCCTCACTGTTAGGAAGTTTCTCCTTAATTCCAGGTTGCTTCTCTCCTGGATTAGTTTCCACCCATTGCTTCTTGTCCTGCCTTGTGGTGCTTTGGAGAATAACTTGACTCCCTCTTCTTTGGGGCAGCCCCTCAAATACTGGAAGACTGCTATCCTGTCTCCCTGGTCCTTCTCTTCACTGTACTAGCCGTATCCAGTTCCTGCAATAGTTCTTTGTATGTTTTAACCTCCAGTCCCCTCATCATTTCTTCAACAAATCCAACATTTTCACAAAGCCTCAAGTCCTCACAAACTGCAGAACCTAAAGCTGAGTATAAATAGCCGAAGGCATTCATCTCATCTAGGCTGCTCACTTTCCTCTCTCTCTCCCCCCCACCCCTTTGACATCAGCATTTACATTTAGATAAGCTTTTAAAAGGCTGGAGACCAGAGTTTCATTGTTATTCTGGGCACTGATGGCAGCGGCCAAAGAAAAAATGCTTTAGTCAGCTGCTTTAAGAGAACAACAACAATGAAAAAAAAATAAGCTGAGAAATTGAAGATGCTGACTTTTTTTTTTTTTATCTAGAGTCATACTTTAGGACCATAAAAAAAGAAAAGTTTTACCAGCTGCCCTTAAAATCCAGATAACAGAGTAGCAGAGTTGGAAGGGACCTTGGAGGTCTTCTAGTCCAACCTTCTGCTCAAACCGGAGACCCTCTACCGTTGTTGACAAATGGTTGTCCAATCTCGTCTTGAAAACCTCCAGTGATGGAGCATCCACAGCTTCTGAAGGGATGTCATTCCACTGACTAATTGTTCTATTAGGAAATTTCTCCTTAGTTCTAGATTGCTTCTCTCCTTGGTTAGTTTCCACCCATTGCTTCTTGCCCTGCCCTTAGGTGCTTTGGAGAATAGGTTGACTCCCTCTTCTTTGGGGCAGCCCCTCAAATATTGGAAGACTGCTATCATGTTACCCCAAATCCTTCTTTTCAGCAGACTAAAAGGTAAAGGTAAAGGTTCCCCTCGCACATATGTGCTAGCTGTTCCTGACTCTAGGGGGCAGTGCTCATCTCCGTTTCAAAGCCGAAGAGCCAGCGCTGTCCGAAGACGTCTCCGTGGTCATGTGACCGGCATGACTTAACGCCAAAGGCTCACGGAACGCTGTTCCCTTCCCACCAAAGGTGGTTCCTATTTTTCTACTTGCATTTATTTACCTGCTTTCGAACTGCTAGGTTGGCAGAAGCTGGGACAAGTCACGGGAGCTCACCCCGTTACGCGGCACTCGGGATTCGAACCGCTGAACTGCCGACCTTTCGATCGACAAGCTCAGCGTCTTAGCCACTGAGCCACTGCGTCCAAATCCTGCAACCGTTCTTCATATGTCTCCAGTCCCCTAATCCTCTTTGTTGCTCTTCTCTGCACTCTTTCCAGAGTCTCAACTTTTCAGAAATTTCAGAAACGAGGGGTTTCTTCTGAAACTTTTCTTTTCCTGGATTTATCCATGGTTGGCCGACTGGAGGTCGAAAAGCTCAAGAAATCGCGTGCCGGCGGATGTTGCACATAGGCGGTTGTGATGCATATTTTGAGTGACAGGGAGCCACAGCAGAGGGGTGAAAGAGCCACATGTGGCTCCAGAGCTGCCTTCCAAGGTCTCTTACAGCTCTATTCTAGATTGAAGTCTCAGCCTTGGTGTCCAATTTTCTTTGAACAAGCTTCTTCACTCATCATCCACTTTGGGGATCTGTAGACTCCACTGTCAATAACTTTATTCAGCGGTTGAAACGTGGCTTATGTTTCATTTAATTTCCAGTGCCTGCCAGCTCATCTGCATCCTTCTATGGTTTGTTACCCAGGCAACGTGGGGACAGGGACTTGAAAATAATCTTAGATTATGCCCTCGGCTAGCTCTTCCATTGCTTTGATACCCATAACGAAATCCTTGATTATTTCTCTCACTGTTTCTTCCTCCACGCAGACCTTCCGAGTCCCAGGGACACCGTCCAATTATCAGCATTTACTTAATTTTTCCCAGGCATATAATTTTACTTTCCTTTTCACGGAGAGAAAGCATGTCTCCCAGGTTGTAAAAAGCAGCTAAATTTAAACCCTCGCGTCGAAAACGAAGACGGCAAAACTCCTCACTTCTCTAAAATCCATCCGTTAAAAAAAGATATATATATTTTTAGTTTTGTTTTCCCGAGTGTAACTTGGCATCCGACTGGTCAAGGAACACTTTGATTAATTGACCATTAAAGTAAAAGTTGAGAACAAGTGCAATCTTTAAAAGGTTTTCTATTTATGTTCCCCGCAGAGACAAATTAAATGGTGGTTGGTGAAGACTCATGAGAGTGTATTTTTTTTAAAAAAAAATTAAATGTAGTTAATAAATATGAAATGGCACGCCGACATATAAGGTACAAAGGAGTGGTGCGGTGGCCTAGAGATGGAATTCTCACCTCACAATCAGGAGACTGTGAGTTTGATTCTAGGTAGAGGGAGATATTTCTCTCTCTGGGCACAATGAGAATATATCTGCTGAACAAAACTCCGCATTGGCGTTAGGAAAGGCATCCGGCCAGTAAACACTCAGCTCCGTTCAGACTCTACCCTGCAAGGGATTATGGAGTCATTAAACAATGATGACGATGACTGACAAATAGGGTACTTTGGCTGCAGAATTAAATGGTATAGCTGCTTAAATTAAACTGGTGAACGGGATCATTTTAAAATTCAGTCAAATACAAAGGCCATTTCAGGAGAAGAAACTACAGCTACTGCTTGACTTGCGACCACTATGGAGCCCAAAGTTTATGTTACTAAGTGAGACGTCTGTTTCTCCGTGTCATATAATATATGTGGGTGTATGCACAATTTTGTATTTATTTATTTTGTCGTGTTTATGTAGTACATATTGGAGGTTAGTAACCCTTTGAGAGCTCTGTGCAACGAAATTTCATTTTAAAGTATGCCGATTAGTCTACATTCAAAGTGGCAATAAAGTTGTTCGAACTTCTAAGAGTTAAGTGAATTTTGTCCCATTTTACGACCTTGCTTGCCACGGTTGTTAAGTCAATCATTGCAGTTGATAAGTTGGCAACCTGGTTGTTAAATGAATCCAGATTCCCCCATGGACTGCCGTCGGAAAGTTGCAA